TCTCTATTTTGTAATTTTAAAGTAAGTTTATGTTCTTTACTTTCTGGTTGGTAATCTGTGGGTTGAAAAGTGTAAAGCATCGCTATGGTTTATGGATGTGTTGACACAACCAAATATTCCTTTGGATGAAAAAAAAAAATCTCAGAAAGTTCTGGAAAGTTTCTGCTCTGGTATTTACTAGAATGGATGGAGAGACCAGCTTGCAAAGGTTCTTTTTTCCTTCGGGTAAAGTGGCATACCTTACCCAAGAGCAATGTCAAAGATGGCCTTTCCCCACCTTAATTATTCAAGATAATTGCTCATACTTTAGAGTTCCCGTGGTGAAAAAGAATGAATCTGTATTTCCTAGATTAAGGTCATCAAATGTTAATGCTGGAAAGGCTCTTAGGAACCATCCAAGCCAGGAATTTCACACTATTTTTAAGCAGCAATGCCCGGCTATCTGGCTATTTTATTCAAATCCTACATAAGCATACTGAATAAATATAGGGTGTCCCCAAAAATGTATATACACTGTGAATGAGTATAAAGGCAGTGCTTATTAAAACACATTTCATTTTCAAAACTGAGCTTAACAGCTGTTAACGTGTATATACATCTTTAGGGGGGAGCGCCCTGTATTTGTAGCAGGAAAATTGGAGTGGAAATCCAATATGTAAAACAGGTCATTAGTCACACAAATAATTCACGATGGGAGGAGACATTCCCTGGGCCTGCACCCTTTGCCCCCTTCCCCCATAATCAACTCCTTGGCCCAGTCAAGATGGGCCCTCCGTCTGCACTTTGAAAAATGCTCAGGCCCAGCCAGGGTGGTGGCTCGGTGGCTTAAGCATCATCCAGTGCCCCAAAGGGTTGCAGCCAGTTTGATTCCCTGTCAGGGCACATGCTTAGGTTGAGGGTTTGATCCCTGCATGGGGCATGTGTGGAGGGTAGTGTCTCTCTCTCTCTCTCTCTCTCTCTCTCTCTCCTTTCTCTCTCTCTCTCCCCACCCCCCCCCCTTTCTTTAAGCACGTCCTCAGGTGAAGATTGGGAGAGAAAATGCCCAGAAACCCAGCATAAAACATAAGACCTAGCAGTGGTCCACCCACTGATTTTGTTCCCTTCAAAGGGTCAGAATCCTGGCCCTTGCCTGGCCCTCCACCTGGGCCCCGATAAATGACTGCCATGCCTTCCACAGAAAACCCACTCGTGTCCCAGGACATCACCGCCAGCTTCTCTCTGGGTGGCCAAGGGCCAGGTGCTTCCCTGCTGCTTGGAAAATGCCCTCCACCCACCTGGGGCGCCTCCCCTGGAGCGCAGCCCTGTCTGGCTACTGACAGATGGACTCAGACCGCCCACCAGCATCTACCTGCAGAGAACGGATGTGATGAGCTCTGGGCTCAAAGCTGGAGAAACCTGACATTTACTAAACGGGTGACTTGCGGGGGGGGGGGGGGGGGGATTGCTTACATTTTTTGAGTTTGTTTCCTGATGAGTAAAATAAGATACTGTCTATTTCTAGTCTATTTCTAAAGGAAGTTGATTCAAAAGAAATGAAGCTAATACAAGGTAAGAAGTTTTCTAAACAGAAAAACCTACTGTCATGCAAGGCATTGTATTAATTTCTATGTTCAGCCTGGTCTCCAGGACCCTTCTTTCCTGGTACAGAGCCCTGAAGTTTGGAGGTAACTCTCGTATAGTAGCTTTATATTTACAAAGACAGTTTTGCAATTAAATTATAAGCAAAGAATGCAGACTTGACACCCAATTGTTGAAATTATCATTTCATTCTCCTATGTAGAGCACTCTTAAATAGTTCATGACTTTTGTAATATTAAGAGCTGCTAAATAGTTCCTTTAGTTCTAATTAACACAGAAGGTTCAAAGGGACTGCATCAGCAATCACTGTGATTAGCAGTGTTTTGGAAGGTAACGAACTACACACACCCTCCAGGTTCAAGTGCAGGGTTTCACAATTATTAGCAAGGCTATGTTCATGGCACAGGGAAGGTCAGGTCACTGGTGGTTCCCTGTTAAACTTTCAGGCTCTGCTTCAGACCGTGCAAGCACCAATCCCAGCTCTGCTGATCACCCCCTTGGAGCAGCTTCCCTCCTGTCTCCGGGTCTCAGTTTCCTCACCTACAAAATGGGCAGAAGAACATCCCCTGGTCTATGAGGTTACTGCCGCATTCACAGCCAACAGCACCGGTGAGCTGCCACGCAATGGCTAGAGCTCCGGGAAAGTCTGCTATCACCTTACACGCGTGTGACCGACACCTGAAGATCTGCTCTTACAAGTTCAGACGGAAGCAATCTTTTCGCAGAACCACCTAGTTACTTCCTTACACGGGAGGTTTTCGTTGTTTTATTTGGATCCTCATTTTAACGCAAGTGTGGTGCCCTAGAGGAGAACAAGGGAGCCATCCATGAAACCTCCTAGAATCATCACTATTCCTGGAACGGGGATCTCCGTCAGACCCCGCAGAGCTGCAGGGACCTTACTAGCCTTCCTCCCTCTCGAGTCACCTTTTCATGGCCCCGGAGGTAATGTGCTGCATTTGGGATCATTTAGACCAGCGGTTCTCAACCTGTGGGTCTCGACCCTCTTGGCCAGGGGTCCTCAAACTACGGCCCGCGGGCCACATGCAAATACAAATATTGTATTTGTTCCCGTTTTGTTTTTTTACTTCAAAATAAGATAGGTGCAGTGTGCATAGGGATTTGTTCATAGTTTTTTTTAAAACTATAGTCCGGCCCTCCAACGGTCTGAGGGACAGTGAACTGGCCCCCTGTTTAAAAGTTTGAGGACCCCTGCTCTTGGCGGTCGAACGACCCTTTCACAGGGGTCGCCTAAGACCATCCTGCGTATCAGATATTTACATGACGATTCATAACAGTAGCAACATTACAGTTATGAAGTAGCAACGAAAATAATTTTATGGTTGGGTCACAACATGAGGAACTGTATTTAAAGGGCCAGAAGGTTGAGAACCACTGGTTTAGACGAACTCTGCAGTAGAGAGGTCGGGCTCTTTACAATGATTCCTACAGGGAGACGCCTGGAAGTACAGGCGAGGCTGGAGTCTGTGCTTTGATGAAGCGGATGCTCCGGGGAAATGCGAAGTGAACATCAAACCTTTTCACCTCCCCGCGCTCCTCATTCCAGGCAGCACCTGACCCCTGACCCCTGCCCGGCCGTGATCAGCGCCTCACTAGTTAGCCCAACACTTGGCAGGCGGACATCAATATTAATGCTGCCAGGTTTCATCATCGCTGTTTGCACTGCTGTTAAAGGTGTTTTAATATTATAATTGGGTTGGCCCTTGCTCCTTCATCCGAAAGCTAAATTTATTCGAGTGACAAGCCTTAATTTTCTGACATTTTTTGAGATTTGTGTCCCATGCTAGAAGCCCAGCCGCATCGACAAAACCTGTGTGTGGATATATTAATCCCATCCTGCTCCTAAGCTTAAACCTTTAATCATATCCTTGAAACCACTGCTAAGCTGTTTCCATCTCCGGTCCGTAGGTAATCTCTTTGCATTGTTTTCTCTAATACAAAAGGAATATTCTTTGAGATCCTCTCTGACTCTAATAATATATAATTCTGAACACATCTTTCTATCCTAATGGGATATTCAGGTATAAATCCTAGGAGGAAGGGCTGAGGGAGGATGAAAAAGATAGAAATAATCATAAATCCAACGCCCCAGAAATAGGCGAGGCCATAGGAGACTTCTAAGAACTACCCAAAAAAGGCGTTTGTGAAAGGAGCCCCAAAAGATGGGTGTGTTGCTAAATCCCTTGAAAAGAGAAAGAACTGTGTGCTGGCTGATGGTACGCGAGGAGCTGGGGCCCGGGACAGAAGAAACAGGAGATGACAGCTGAGAATCCCAGAGACGGAGATGCCGGACCACGGCGGGTCTGTGGGGAGGGGAGTCTGCCTGGTGTGTCCTTTTAAGAACTGGCTTCCAACGTCTAGAGGCAAACAGAGCAGCCCAGTAACTCTGGGCGTTTTGCAAGACAGTGCTCTGCTGGCCTCCGTCACGTCCTGTTCCAAGCCCCATCTCAGCGACCCACCCCAGCCCCTCTCCCAGCCTCCCTGGCCTCGCCCCTCCAGATTCATGTAGACGCCTTCCTTTCTAGACGGCATCCGTCTTCCTCTGCCCTGGCCATAGAAGACACGCCTCCCTGCCTGCTGAGTCCCGGAACCAGAGAGGGGCACTGGGGATACCAGGTCCCGGGTGTGGACGTGAGCCAGCGCTCACTAAGGCGGCCCAGGGATCTGTGTCCACAGGAAAAACACAGTCAGTGCAACCGGGATGGTCGGTAGCTTTTCTACATCCGTGTGACTGACCTTCAGAAACAGCTGCCTGGCCCAGCCAGTGTGGCTCAGTGGTTGAGCATCGACCTCTGAACCAGGAGGTCACGGTTTGATTCCTGGTCAGGGCACAGGCCCGGGTTACGGGCTTGAATCCCAGTGGGGGGTGTGCAGGAAGTAGCTGATGGATGTTGTTTCTCTCTCATTGATGTTTCTATTTCTCTCTCCTTCGCCCTTCCTCTTTCTCTAAAAATCAATAAAAACCTATTTTAAAAAATAATAATGGGCCCTTAATACACGGGCAACTCCTTGGGATAAAGCTTAGCTTCAGAATATCACACATGAGTAACAATCAGAAAAGAATCTATTGCTAATTGCCACTATGGTTGAGAAAGACAAGCTGTGGGAGCTTACGGAGAAAGACTGGTCGTGTGTGTAAGTGGTTACCGGATGCTCCTAAAGCAGCATTCGTCTGTCCACAGAGCACTGGGGAGGGGCAGGCCGGTGAGTATCGGTCACACGGAGCCTAGAGGAAGAGAACGGCTAAGGAAGGTGTAACTGCATGAGGCTGTGCCGGCCATGCAACCCGTCTCCTCGTTTTCCTTTTAACTGTAAAAATAAAACCAGACTTTGTCAGAAGGATGCTTTGCTGGCCCTCTCCCCCGCTCTAACTGGTCTGTGTGTGCTCCCCGTTTCCCCAGACGCAGGTCAGCCCCAAGGAGGGGTGGCAGGTGTACAGCTCCGCACAGGACCCCGACGGGCGATGCATCTGCACGGTGGTGGCTCCGGAGCAGAACCTGTGCTCCCGGGATGCCAAGAGCAGGCAGCTGCGCCAGCTGCTGGAAAAGGTAGGGTCCTGGTCGCGGGCATAAGTGCACGGAAATCCCCCTTCCTTGCAAAGGAAGTGGGGGAGGCGGGCGTGGGGGTCAGGGTCCTCCCAGTGTTTGCTCCCGGAAGGAGTCCCTCACGCTTCCTGCTCTGCTGATGTGACTTTTCACTGCTCCCAACCCCGTCTTCTTAAGATTGGCTCTCTGTCATCTGTCTTAATGTCCAGTGTGTCTCCTTAAAGGAAAAAAAAGGTAGGAAGTCTTATTCTGCTGCCAGAAATGGAGCCTCGACTCTCAGAATCACACCAGGCTCCTTGAGCTCCTACTTTGGGGTTCCGTTATGAAGCCTGCAAGGAAGCTAAGCTAATGGCATGCACTGTGCAAGCTCTCAGGACGGATAATGAACAAGTCCGAGTATTTGTCATAACTCTAAGGCAGTGGTTCTCAACCTTGGCTGCACATTAGAATCACCTGGGAATCTTTTTAAAATCCTGATTTCTGGGCCTCATCCTCCGGAAATTCTGTTTCTTTGTTATGGGGTGGGGTCACAACATTAGTAACAAACAGAATTTCTGGAGGCTGAGGCCCAGAAATCAGGATTTTAAAAAGATTCCCAGGTGATTCTAATGTGCAGCCAAGGTTGAGAACCACTGGTCTAAGGCATGCCTTTGAGCATTAGGCTCTTCAGTTTCACTCAATAGCATTCGCTCCATATCACGTACTGAAGCCGGTCCCTAACAATCAACTGCTGAATGGCCTTCATTTCCTCTTTTACAGACACCAGTCGGCTCATGAAAGGTTATTGATGTGTGGTGTGGGGAGAATAAAACAAAACAGAACAACAATGGATGGTTCTTTCCATTCTTCTCATTCAGACTTTGCCTGTGCTGGGCCCTGCGTACAGCAGCACAGCTGGGGTGGCCAGGCTGACGGGGGATAGAAGGGGGGGTGTGGCGGCAGCTACAAGTTTAAATGCCATCGGGGGCGATACGATACATCAGGTGGACATCACTCTCAACAACTCACGCGGTGCCATATCCATCCACGCAACTGAACATCCAATAGGGACTTTACAGAAAGTTCAGAGAAGCTAGAAAAATGAAAGCGTTGAAGCTCTGAGTACAGACATCCCAGTTCATGCCACTCCCAGGTGCCTGGTGGCACACAGGACCTGACCTTTACATTCCCCACTGACCAAGCATGTCACGTGGTATGAGAATGCTGTTCCTACCAGTGATGTTCATAACAGCAGCTCCTGTCTGTTCTTCTGTGTCCACCCCCTTCCGACCCTCAGAGCAGACATGGTTGCCTCTCTCAGTTCCCCAAGAGGAAGCTGGTGCTTGTTGAGGTGAAACCACCTTGCAACGTCACTCACTGGCAGGCGGTGTGGCGACCCCACTCCAGTACCGCATTTTCTCAATGCCCCGCGAGTGCCCCCAGAATGCCCCCGGTGGCCCCCATGCCTAATTAAGTGCTGCCCTGCCCAGCCAGCCGAGCAGTGTTTGTATCAGTGAATACTAGGACTGCAAGCGGTTCCACATGCCCCGGGTGTCAGATGCCCAATCTAAAGTTGTCCCCTTAGCAAAGCTTGCCAGCCGTGCAGTCTCCCTGCACAGGTAAACGCGCCTGCGCTGTCCAGCTCATTCATTCCCCAAGTGTGGCTTCTGGAACAGGCTGCCAGCGACGGACTCACCGACGAAATGATTGAGAGACACTGCACAGGATTCCTCGCTCTGAAGATTTCCACCACGCAGTTCACACAGAGGCTCTGTGAAGCCCCACAGTAAAGAAACCTATTTATCTGTGTTAACCCCGTGCCATGTAAACATGGGAAACTGCTGGACTCTTTTCCCCAAGGAGCTGCCGCACTGATGATGAAGGAGAGTGAAATCTAAGTCAATTTGCTCTGACGTTTAAAAGCCCTCAGACATTTCATTCACACAAAGAACCAGGAGAGAGAGTTCCAACAAATTATCAACGAAGGGGGACCCGGAGCTTGCCACGCCCTGCGGAGAGGCTGTGGGCACGAGGACACGTGTGGAGAGATGGACAGCAGGGCGGCAGGGCTGGGGGCACCGGGAGATGGCTGTGTGGTGAGATGGACAGCAGGGCGGCAGGGCTGGGGGCACCGGGAGATGGCTGTGTGGGGAGATGGACAGCAGGGCGGCAGGGCTGGGGGCACCGGGAGATGGCTGTGTGGGGAGATGGACAGCAGGGCGGCAGGGCTGGGGGCACCGGGAGATGGCTGTGTGGGGAGATGGACAGCAGGGCGGCAGGGCTGGGGGCACCGGGAGATGGCTGTGTGGGGAGATGGACAGCAAGGCGGCAGATGGCTCTTCTCCCTGCGCATGGAACCCCGGGGACCCAGTCTCCGGTGTCCCCGGGAAACTGACTCTCCGGTGTCCCCGAAACCAGTGGGAAACTAACCAGTCCCGGACAGCCAGCGGGAGAGGCCGAAGGCAGCCGAGCAGGTCCTGTCCCAGTGGACAGCTCTGTCTCTAGCCATGACCCGCGGCGGCTCCTGAGATCGTACACGATTCTGCCGTGCAGAGGCCAGACCAGGACTCGGCACACATGCTCTCCGGGCATTTTCCCTCAACACAGTCAAGCTGCACCGGAGCTCGAGGGGGCGGGTCAGAGGCAAAGGAGCCGAGAGGCTGTGTCCGTCCATCCAGACCCCTCGCCTGCCCTCGCTTCCTCCCTGGGCACGGCCTTCCCGGAATGGAATACTACGCTGCGGTAAAAAAGAAGGAAATCTTACCATTTGCAACAGCATGGATGGAACTGGAGAGCATTATGCTAAGTGAAATAAGCCAGGAAGTGAAAGAAAAATACCACATGATCTCACTCATTTATGGATAATAAAGACCATTATAAACTAATGAACAAAAATAGATACAGAGGTAGAGCAGCATTGAACAGACTGTCAGACTACAGCGGGAAGGCCGAGGAGGGTTGTGCGGGGGGAGGGTAAGGGATCAACCGAAGGACTTGTATGAATGCATATTAAGCATAATCAATGGACACAAGACACTGGGAGGTAAGGGAGGCCGGGGGAAGGTCGGGGGCGGGGGGAGGAGACATATTGTAATACTCTTTGTAATACTTTAAGCAATAAAACAAAATTTAAAAAAATAAAAATTAAAAAAAATCTATTTCATAAAACATATTTTTCTGACATGTTAAGTCCTCGCTTATATCCAGTCATTTCTAATGTTCGGATGCCCGTTGCATTACTTCCTGCCTCAGTCTAACTGTCTCTTGCTGAATTCTTTGACTGTTTATCACAGAGAATTGTCCTTCTAGAAATGTGTCGTGTGGGACTAAGGACCTGGGACTTCAGTTCTCCATGCTGACGCCCTTCTTGCTGTTCCGGTGGTGACCGCACAGACCTGTGAACAGACGCTAATTGACGGCTACTGTTCTCGTTGAACAGGTTCAGAACATGTCCCAGTCCATCGAAGTCTTAAACCTGAGGACTCAGAGAGATTTCCAGTATGTTCTCAAAATGGAAACCCAGATGAAGGGGCTGAAGGCCAAGTTCCGGCAGATTGAAGATGACCGGAAGACGCTCATGACCAAGCACTTCCAGGTGGGTCCACGCCCGCGAGCTGGTCCAGCCGCGTGCGACGCCGAGTGGGCCGGGCAGCCAGCGTGGCTCGGCTGGAAATCACTGTGCGGCCCCTCCGGGCAAGGTTCAGGGCTCGCTGGGGACGCCCGGCAGCTCCCCCCCCCCGGCCCTGGCCATCAGCTGTGGGTGCACCGGAGACTGGCTGTAACAGAGCGAACCCTGCGAGAGCTCGGGGAGTGTCTGCATAGACTTACGGGCACTTCAATGTCGATGACAAGGGGAACCTGAAGGAGAAGTAATAATTCAATGTAGCAAAGTTTTTTTCCCCTGGTGAAGTTTTTATGCCCTCATATGAGAAATATCAAGAATATCAACTATTAAACGAGGCAGTCCCACCATTATTAACAGCCATAGAAAGAGGGTTGCTTTATGATTTCACCCAAAGACCAGTCTTTAGACGTTCAGTTGTTTATGGGCAATTATTCAGAAACACTGGGAATGGAGAGAGGTGCATGTGGACTTTCATTAACTATGAATCACAGGGTCATCGATGAAAATAAACTGACTGGGATGATGCCGTCTGCACCTCTATTGAAAAGGAACAGTCCGCATTGCAAAGACACGGCACGTCCTTTAGGAAACACGCTGTGGTTTTGTAAAGGTCACAGCCCCGTTTCCTGGCCCGTCAGGAAGCGGGAGTCGTGCTGGTGAGGGGGCAGGTCTGAGCGCAAGCTCTCGCTGCCGAGCCTCAGAAGCGCTCTCCACGCGTCAGGGTGAGGGCCGGATGCGGCCCAGGGACACGCAGCGGTTCCTCCGCTTCGAATGGGTTACCAGGCGCCCGGGCAGAGGGCAGAGGAAACAGAATTGCACTGAACCGCATTTAAAATTCCACCTAAAAGAACAGGAGGGCAAAGGCTGAGGGTATTGGCCGGAGAACGGGCTAAAGGGATGAAGCGTGAGGTTTCAGTTGAAGAAAGATGCAAGCAAGGCCCCGGGGGGGTTAAGGAATTAGAACAAATGAGAGCAAAGCCTAGAAGATACCAGGAATTGAAAGATTGTTGGCAATAAGAAGGAGTGAACTGGGAGAATAGAGAAGGGGTCGGGGGATAGCAAACAGAGAAAGATCCAGGCTGGAGAGCAAATGAATTCATCTTAACCAACGTTTATTGCACAGGTCCTGTGAGCAAGACAGGGCTGGCCCTCTGGGGGGGTGCAGTACGTAATCTCTGTTCTGTGAAAGACAGCTGACCAACAGGCAGGCATAAACATTGCTCAGGTGCACAGAGAGAAGAACTTTGTTTAATTTTGTTTAGAGAAGATCAGAGAAGAGTTAGAGGAAATATTCAAGAAAGCCATTCTGGACTAGTGGCTCCCAATGTCACCCCAATAAATTCAATTAAAAAGGAAAATAAAAGTTTAAACCACTAAGTAGGTTTTCTCCTCCCTGCCCTGGAAGGTGACAGTTGTTCTGGGTATCACACTTGAGACTGTCAGTGTCCCGTGAGGAGCTCAGGGTGGGGCAAGAGAGGCAAGCACAGCTCTGCCGTCTGAGCAACACATCAGAAGTGCAACTCTAGGAGGAAGCAGTGAGCACAGATCTACACTCTTCTGCTCCAGCCTTTTAAATCCCTGACAGGCATACTGGCTGCTCCCTGACAAATGCAGGGAGTTTCCAAATTGACTGTCAGTAATCAAATTACGAATGTTTTTGAAAAGATCCAGAAATATAAACACTTATTATTATTACTATTATTATTATTTTTTTTATATATTTTATTGATTTTTTACAGAGAGGAAGGGAGAGAGATAGAGAGTTAGAAACATCGATGAGAGAGAAACATCGATCAGCTGCCTCCTGCACATCTCCTACTGGGGATGTGCCCGCAACCCAGGTACATGCCCTTGACCGGAATCGAACCTGGGACCTTTCAGTCCGCAGGCCGACGCTCTATCCACTGAGCCAGACCGGTTTCGGCTACTATTATTATTTTTAGTTTAGGGGGAAAACCTGCCACCAAACTTGGGACACTGCATTGTTCTCTTTTCAGTGTTTCCACCGTGGAACGGAAAACCCTTCACTGCGGCAGTTGCTGCATATAATCGGCAGCAAGTGGTCCCGACAGAACGAACTCTTTGCGTTAAGGTCCTCATGGGGCGGCGGTGCTCTCCCTGAGGCCGCAAAATGCACGGCCCAATGCGCTTCTTCCCAATGAGCCTCGGAAAAGAGCGAGCTCCCGGGCTCCGCCTTTTGGCTGTAATGTGCGTGCATCTTTCTCATCAGGACGGCTCTGTCCCCCCCACTCCGCAGGGACACAGGCCAGTTCAAAGAATCCCGAGCTGGCAGGGCAGGTAGAAGTTGCCCCCCAAGAAACGTAAGCCCATAAAGCAGGGCAGCAACGGGAGTGCCAGCTACTTTAACGCATTTATGCTAATGGCATCTCCTCCGAGTCCTTTTAAGATGCGAATTTTGAATCCGTTGTAATAACCGCCCCTGAGTGTCCGGGGACAGAGTGCAGCGCTGGTGGGTGGGAGCCAGTGGGCGCCAGGTGATCAGGGCTGCGCTGTCCCCGCAGGAGCTGAAGGAGAAGATGGACGAGCTCCTGCCGCTGATCCCCGTGCTGGAGCAGTACAAGACGGACGCGCGGCTCATCACCCAGTTCAAGGAGGAGATCCGGAACCTGTCGGCCGTGCTCACTGGGATCCAGGAGGAGCTGGGCGCCTACGACTACGAGGAGCTGCACCTCAGGGTGCTCAGCCTGGAGACCCGGCTCCGCGACTGCATGAAGAAGCTCAGTGAGTAGAGCCGCGGGCCGTCCGCGCTGTGTGTCTCAGTCGGTTCTGTGGAAACCGCGTCCCTACGTTGTGGGGGTGGTCAGACGTGCCTCGTGTCGGGGAAACCAGGGCTGGCCTTCCAAGTGCAAGGTAAGTGTTCCTCAATGGCTCACGCGCCCCTGGGAACGGAGTGGCCTGGGACTGACAGTTGCCTAATTCTCCGATCGCCTGTTACAGTTGAGATAAACAGCCTGGCGATAGAGCCGATTCCACTGGCTGATGGAGATGTGTTTTAGTCCAGGCAGATGGTGCGTGATGAGTGATCACTGCTGGGCCAGGGCAGAGGGGAGGCACTTCAGGGAGTGGAGAAAGTCAGAGCCTGCAGGAGAGGGAGTGGCCCTGGGCCAAAATGTGAAGCTGCAGTGCTGAAAGCAAACCCGACAGCTGCCCTTCCTGCAGAGCTGCCCACGGCCACTCTGACCCGCTCAAGGAATCAAAGGAGGCACCTTCCCAAATCGGCAGCTACACACCGTGAGTGAGGGCCACGCAAGCGTGCGGGGCCTGGACTACAGTCCCTGACTCAGCCCGGACCCAGGGTGCAAGCCCGCCCCCTGCACCCAGGAGCTAATGACCCAGCCGGAGCCTCCGGGGACTAGAGTAACCTAACGCGGCATGAGCACCTGGTAGGGAACTGACTGAAGAGGCTGCGAGCCCATTCAGGAACAGCTTGTTAGTAGCTGACATGACAGGGCAAGGTGGGGTGGCGGGGTGGGGTAGAGGGAGGCAGCTCAACCACAGAAAAGTGCTCTCTCAAGGTCAAGAACACTTTCTGGAGGAGGAAATACCCTGGGAAGAGGAGTAAAGAAGTTGAGAAAAATAATTTCTGGCCAAGAAAATCTCAAAGGATACATGTAACACTTGATCGGTAGCGTTCAAGTGTTTTAAAATAAAATCTGCGTGAGTGACAAGAACATGTTAGACTCATCAGTTCACTCTGCCACTCCTGCATCTCGCCATCCACCCGAGCTTGGGCTGTGTGTGCTGAGCCAGGCGTGTACCGGCCTCCTTGCTCTTCTCTCCTGGACTGTTCACTACACACCGATTCAACCAAAGCAAGGCCAGGCCCCGGGAGGTCATACCTGGTGAATACCGTAAGCCCTCCCTGAAGTGGGCCCGTGGAATTCTTGTGGGAATAAATGCGAAAACTCTTGGGATTGGCTTCATTTTAGAAATGAACTTCACCTCTAACATATGCAGGCTGGGCAAAAGTAGGTGGACAGTGGTGAGTATGCGAATTTTAAGATAATTAAAAAACAGATGAGCCTCCTCACCTGCAGGGTCTCAGCGACTCTACTAGAGAATTAAAGTTTGGGTGAAAAATAGAAATTAAAAAAAAATGCTTCCACAGCAATGCACCCTCGTGGCCTGAATGGGGGCCAGATGTGCCCTCCTGAACGCTTGATTTTCTACTCCGAGAGCCGAACAGAGAAGTCTCCTGTGCTTAATTACATTGGACCGTATTCCCAGACATGCAAACGGTAATTATATGCCTGTGAGAATTTAACTGGAAAAGCACAGGGAAAGCCTCCGCCACCCCCTGAGATCACCGACAGACATTTAATGTCGCGGATAACCAGGCTTCCAGCCCTCTCCCCGCCTGCAGTTACTGCTCCCTCAGGACAATGGTTCCGTGCCATCTAGTGAAGTTCAAGGTGCATCCTTCCCTTAACACAGCCTGCGGAGTATCGGCAGCGTTCAAAACTCAAGATCCCAAGTAACGACACTTGGCTTGTTGTCTCTGCCATGTTCGTGCCAAATTCCTTTCAAAAGGGAAAACAAAATGTCTAGGTGGTAATAGTCATGTTTGCACATTCAACCAATATTGAATGAGCCCCGGTGTGTGCGGGCACTCGGCCAGGTATTGGGGAGACAAGGCTGAGCAGCAGACAGCCCCCCCCCCCGCCGTCAGGGAGCTGGCATTCTGTGGGGACACAAGCACACAGCAGAGAAGTGCAGCCGTGTTGACAGCCTGCTGCACGACGGGCTCCATGCCAGCCTCTTCCATGCGGTCGTTCCAATCACCGCGAGAACTCTGGGTGAGGCCTTATTATGCAATTGATGGCAAACAGATTGTTCGGCTTAAACTCATTTGCAATTTATTGGAAAACAGACGGGTTTGGACACATGTTATTCTTGGTCCTGCTTGCCACACACGCACTGCAAACTCATTCTCGTGCCCGTTCCATTATGGCAACCGTTATGTTCACCCTTATCACCACCTTCCCCCGGCACTACAGTTGGTGAGTTAGACATGAAAATAAAAGGTTAAATAATAGAAACAGATTTTACCATCAAATGGATGGTAGAGGTAAACTTATTATAAGTAGCTTCAAAGGACGCACGTTAAAGATCAAATCATATCTCCTTCTTGCCATGCGTTCTCCAATGGCCGTAAGTAAAAAGAAATGAGATTCTGGAGAAATACTCACTATTCCATGTAATTTACTCATATGGACATGGCCTTGGGATTCCAAGTCAGAAGCGATTAGTCCGGGACATAGCAAGGTACAATGATATATTAAAGAAAGAAATAAGAGAAGACAGAAGTCTCCATGCTTTGTTGATCCAAACAACTGCTCTTGCTGCTGAATCCCAAGTGACACCTTGTCCTGAGCTGCCGTTGGATCAGCATGGGCTGTAACTGATATCACAAAGTCCAATGTCTAGAAGGCATCGGAGAAGGACAATGGCCACGATCTTCAACTACCTATTTAGTATATTTTCTGAATAGATAGAACCATACACGCACAATATATTGTAAAATGTTAATATTTTCACGTGTCTCACTGCCAGTGAGAGCAGAGCGGGAGAGAAATCAATGAAGCAGAACCCTTCACTTCGCTCTTTGCCATCCATTTCTGCCCAACATTTGTCTTCCCGGCGCTTGGGAAAATCACCCTTTCCGTCTGGCTCCCTTCGTCCGCGTGGAGAGTGAGAGTGAAGTGAGAAAGATAATTATGTCTTGGAACCAGAGCCAGTGAGGGGGAGCCAAGACACAGAAATGGCTTCCGCTGTTTATTTTACTTCATGTTTACAATCTCTACATTTCATCAGCAGCTGACAAGACCAGTGTTTACTTCACACAGAGATCCACAAAATTGTAACTACAAAAACAGCCAGTTTTTATAAATTCCTGAAACTTTAGTTTTACTAATTTCATTTGATGAGATGAATTTTACCTTAGGAGTCCAATAACTATTTGTAAAGAGGAACTTCTCTCAACAACAATGAGAGACTATTCTGTTTTTTGCTTCCTGAGAATAAGAGTGGATAATGGTGATGACAATGATCTTATCATCCTGATGGTGTGTGTGTGTGTGTGTGTGTATTTTACTAGACCACAAATGCCACCTTCTCCCCATCAGCATATTAAAAGTTTGTTGATCCAGCATCCATTCAACATTCTCTCAGTGAGATTAACAAAATTTCAAGCTCCAGGCTGTCCATCTTACAGATGAGGAAACCATCCCAGAGAAGAACTGCACAATCCAATATTATAGGATGATTGACTGTGGTGCCTTAGATTAGAAACCAGCTCTCCTAACACCCACCTGAGCATTCTAACCTGGATGGATGTACTACACACAGAATATTTCCAGGGAAATTGTGGAAGAACAGAGACAAAAAAAACCATATAAAAGGACAGAGGCGTGGTTACTCATGGTTACTAAAATAGATTAAATTACCATCTACTCGTGAGTTCATTTATTTAATTATTCTCTCCTTTACATCATCAGTTTCTCCCTATTAGATTATTCCTAAAGGCAAACAGTATTTTCTTAAACAATGAAATAAGAACAATGGTTAAATTTTTGCAAAATTGTAATGATTTACTAGATTATAGAGAGCTAGCTTATAGAGATTATAGAAAACTAAACATGGAACATGGAAGATTAGTTGAACGTGCTTGGTTCTTTCTAGGTTTGACAATTGATGGGTATGTCTGTAGATGAGTAGGGTAAACGTGGCTTAAAATACAATAAATCTCAAGTGACCTAAGGATTCAGGCTTGGTCTGAAATAACCTCCTCACTTAACATTCTGTGCCAGTTGAGTCAAAAAGGAAAAGAAAGAAAGGAATGGAAAGGATGGGCATAACCAGTAGTAGTTTAAGAAGTTACACCATAAGGACATATAGAAGGCCGAGAGACATATGAAAACATGCTCAAAGTCACTAATCATCCGAGAGATGCTAATCAAAACAACAATGAGGTACCATCTCACACCTGTCAGAATGGCTATCATCAACAAATCAACAAACGACAAGTGCTGGTGAGGATGCAGAGAAAAAGGAACACTCGTGCACTGCTGGTGGGAATGTAGACTGGTGCAGCCACTGTGGAAAACAATATGGAGT